CCGAAGCATGCTTGTAACCGATCGAGCTTTTACTCAATAAGTGTAAAACAAAATTTTGTACATGATTGTAAATAAACTTTCATGGTGAGATATAAAGCTTCGGTTATTTTATATAATCAACGAACACTCAAGTTAAGTGGTGCATCAACCACCACAGCCTGTATTCTTTTTTACTCGTCAGATTAGGAATAATGTCGCGCGGGCCGGATAGAACATTTCAGGGGGCCGCATCTGGCCCGCGGGCCGTAGTTTGCCCATCACTGGTCTAAAGCATAAAAATTTGTTTTTTAAGTAATTTCAGTTAAGTAGTCATTATCTAGTTAATTAGTTACAACCAAAAAATTGGAATAGTTATAAATTGAAAAAAATAGAAATAAACATACTAGAGAACAAAAAGCTTAAATACAATTATGATGTACTAGCTGTTACCTGTGTCTTTGCTCGCAAGGATTTTGCAAGCAAACCCCATTTATATTCAGTATTTCAACAACCATAGTAATTGTTATATAACACCTACTGCTGAGAACGATGAGAATTGCCAAGAATCAAACAAACTGTTTTTAATTTGATCAATTTTCTGGAACGTTTACAATCGTTCTATAATTGAACCAATATGCAATAACAAATTCAAATTTAAAACGGTTCGAACATTTTTAAAATCGAAATAGATAAAAATATTTATAACAATGTCTGAAATGTTATCAATTTAATATACCTAAGTACTCAATGAAGACTACACATAGTTGAAAACGAAAAATCGCATCTAAAATAGTACAGTAGAAGCTGTTCTTCCGGTTAAGCCTTAATGCTCTCCCTTTCCCTTGTGGGGTAATTTTGAAAAATCCCTTCTTAGTGTACATTTTCGTGATATACCCTAACTGTGTACCAAATTTCACCTCTTTAGGTTCAATGGTTTGCTCTGGGCGATGATGAGTCAGTCATTCAGTCAGGACAAGCAATTTTATATATTTAGATAAATTAAAAGTTGTAATTAANAATAATATTATAATTGTATTACAAATATATTTTATTTCACAGAATAAATTGATTATTTCTGTCTCTACAAGTATATAGTAACATTTTATGTAAAATTTTATACAGTAGAAAATTCATTAACTGAGCTTCAATAAAAGAAAGATCTAGCCAACCAGGATTTTAGTATTAAAGAAGTTGTTAAAAAATACAGAAGATTAAGGAAATATGTGCATATGAATCTTAAATAATTTAGTAATATAAGATGAGAAAATTTAATTATTATGGGTTAGTTTCACAGAAGGAAAATATAGACTATCATTCTTCAGTTTCAGTTTTGCTTTGAAAGAATGACTACTAGGATGAGATTGTATTGTATTATCTTAGAAAAAATATCTGTAATTAAATGTGTAGTTGTTAAGATTAGACATGGATCATGCACTCCTGAGAAAAAATAATAATAATTTTTCTGTAGTCATCAAGTTTAAACTGATAATTTGAAAAAAGAATAGATGTGTTTGATTGAAAAAGATGCTTTTGGAATGATTTTGAAAAGATAGTTTGAATGTAAAATGCATATGGATTCAATTGTAGAGAATTTTGTGAGTTTTGTTTGAGGAAAAGGTTTTAGGTATAGAATGGAATTTAGAATAATTATCTGGGATAGAATAGAACCACAGTGATAGATAGTAGTTTACAGTAGGTATAAAGTCATAATAGTGAAATCTATCCTGTCATTCCCTTTCACTTAGAACAGTGGTTCCCAACCTTTTTTCATTAGCGTACCCCGAGATGATGATGATATATTAGTCTTATTTATTTTTAGTTTATTTATTGTCTCATCAAATATTTTTCTTGTGCAGAGCCATTCAACAACACAGTCAAAGTTTGTTGAAACAACTGGTTTGGACAAACCAGATTTTATAAATTGTCCTAAACAGGATTCTGAAAAACTTGGAACTGATCAAGACAATCAGTGGCTTGAATTTCCAACTACTAACTTATATGAATTGGAAACACGTGTATATACTGATCAGTGGTCCATACCTTATAAACGAGAAGAATCCTTGGGAAAGTGCCTTTTTAGTGCAATACATTTGGCTCGAGAAGGTAAAGATTTTTTTTATATATACATATATATTAGAGATTAGAAATTTTCACTATAAGATATATTTAATTTTTAATTATATATATATTATTAATATAATAGAATATTACTTGTTCTGAAATGCATTAAAATAGTCTAAAGCATAAAAATTTGTTTTTTAAGTAATTTCAGTTAAGTAGTCATTATCTAGTTAATTAGTTAAACCAAAAAATTGGAATAGTTATAAATTGAAAAAAATAGAAATAAACATACTAGAGAACAAAAAGCTTAAATACAATTATGATGTACTAACTGTTACCTGCGTCTTTGCTCGCAAGGATTTTGCAAGCAAACCCCATTTATATTCAGTATTTCAACAACCATAGTAATTGTTATATAACACCTACTGCTGAGAACGATGAGAATTGCCAAGAATCAAACAAACTGTTTTTAATTTGATCAATTTTCTGGAACGTTTACAATCGTTCTATAATTGAACCAATATGCAATAACAAATTCAAATTTAAAACGGTTCGAACATTTTTAAAATCGAAATAGATAAAAATATTTATAACAATGTCTGAAATGTTATCAATTTAATATACCTAAGTACTCAATGAAGACTACACATAGTTGAAAACGAAAAATCGCATCTAAAATAGTACAGTAGAAGCTGTTTTTCCGGTTAAGCCTTAATGCTCTCCCTCTCCCTTGTGGGGTAATTTTGAAAAATTCCTTCTTAGTGTACGTTTTCGTGATATACCCTAACTGTGTACCAAATTTCACCTCTTTAGGTTCAGTGGTTTGCTCTGGGCGATGATGAGTCAGTCATTCAGTCAGGACAAGCAATTTTATATATTTAGATAAATTAAAAGTTGTAATTAATTCCTTCCATTAATGAAGTTTATTTCATTCATTGAATCATTGTAGAGTCTTGAAAATATTGTTTGTATTCAGACAGTTTTCCTTAAATTTCTCATGTGCACATCTCTAAATTAATTTTCTTGCATCATTACCACATCCAATGCATATATAACTCTCAACCGAAAAAATAATTTTTTATCCAGTCTTCTTTGGTCTAATTTTTGTTCTGGCTTGACCATTTTAAGCACTTGTTTTTTGTTTCTTGGTCAGAAAAGAGTTTGTTTTGGCTTTAAAAATGAAAATCTCATGTCATTCAGTCTATTTTTACTGTTCTTGTGACAGAACAGTGAAAAATAGACTGAATGACATGAGATTGCTTGTTTGTTTTATTTTTCTTCCATTCTTCATTTAATTGTTTGGAAGACAATTTTTGATTTTTTAAGTTTTTTTTTCAATAGATGATCTTGAACATTGCTGACATCACTTTTTTATGACTCCTGTGTCTTTTATGACTTTTTCCAAGTGTAATTTACAGTTCCTAACAACAGACCAACATATATTGCAACTTTTCTTTGGTTTTTTCCATCTTGTAGTAGTTTTATAATGTGTTTTCTCACATCATTAATAAATTCTTTGATTGGAGCAAAGACAGGTAAAATATCACTGTTTACTTAGAAAATGATTCAAACACACTTCTTAAAGCTAATTGTTTCTTCCACTCAAAATAGAATGCTGAAATCTATAAATTTAGATGGTGCTCAAATACTTCATTCCAATTTCCTGTATGTTCAAAACTTTTTTCCAATACTGTTTTATGTAAAAATTCTTTTTTAGGAAAATGGTTTGGTTTATTATTTTATTATTGATTTGAAATTAAAATGGTTAACACTTAATAATCTAGTGAATAAAATGTATATTTTTGTTTTAAACATTACATTTTTTTTTCTTGTAAAATGAGCTCAAACTAAATAATTTTATTTTCTTACATCATGTTTAAATACTTTTTCCTAAGGGTTGTATATGTATATATATATATATATATGTGTGTGTGTGTGTGTGTGTGTATATATATATACACACACATATAATGCAATTTTAAAAATAAAATTATCTTTATTAGGTTTATGTGATGCAGATGAAAATTGTAGAAGATTTATTGACCAATGTTTACCTGAAGCATTCAAAAAAGTAAGGTTTTTTTTTTTTAAATTTTTATGGTAGATTTTTTAAAATTTGCATTTTAATTGTATTTACCTTATTTAGATTCTGTTATAAGAAATTGAAATCTATAAATAATATTATAATTGTATTACAAATATATTTTATTTCACAGAATAAATTGATTATTTCTGTCTCTACAAGTATATAGTAACATTTTATGTAAAATTTTATACAGTAGAAAATTCATTAACTGAGCTTCAATAAAAGAAAGATCTAGCCAACCAGGATTTTAGTATTAAAGAAGTTGTTAAAAAATACAGAAGATTAAGGAAATATGTGCATATGAATCTTAAATAATTTAGTAATATAAGATGAGAAAATTTAATTATTATGGGTTAGTTTCACAGAAGGAAAGTATAGACTATCATTCTTCAGTTTCAGTTTTGCTTTGAAAGAATGACTACTAGGATGAGATTGTATTGTATTATCTTAGAAAAAATATCTGTAATTAAATGTGTAGTTGTTAAGATTAGACATGGATCATGCACTCCTGAGAAAAAATAATAATAATTTTTCTGTAGTCATCAAGTTTAAACTGATAATTTGAAAAAAGAATAGATGTGTTTGATTGAAAAAGATGCTTTTGGAATGATTTTGAAAAGATAGTTTGAATGTAAAATGCATATGGATTCAATTGTAGAGAATTTTGTGAGTTTTGTTTGAGGAAAAGGTTTTAGGTATAGAATGGAATTTAGAATAATTATCTGGGATAGAATAGAACCACAGTGATAGATAGTAGTTTACAGTAGGTATAAAGTCATAATAGTGAAATCTATCCTGGCATTCCCTTTCACTTAGAACAGTGGTTCCCAACTTTTTTTCATTAGCGTACCCTGTGACATGTCATATCTCTAGATTGTACCCCGTGACATGTCATATCTCTAGATTGTACCCCGTGACATGTCATATCTCTAGATTGTACCCCTCATTTAAGAAATTTAGTGAGTAACCGTATTGTTAATTTTACATATTGTAACTTTAAATTAAAGAAAAAAAACCTAAAAGAAAAAATGTATAATAAAGTTGTGATTGTTGCAAGGAACATTTTTTATCTAATAATTTTTTAATACTATTAGTTTGTGATACATAATATATTATTTTTTCTGCCATAATAACTAACTTTTTTCTGTACCCCTAAACAACCTATTGCGTACCCCTAGGGGTACGCGTACCACAGGTTGGGAATTGCTGACTTAGAAGATTAGAGAGTATCTTCTTAATAAACTGAGGTCATAAATTGTGCAGACATGTATACATGTACCTTGTCTTCAGTGTGTGTTGAGTGTTTAATAAACTTTATTGTGCTTAACTTGTCTCTCTGAAAGAAAGATAGTACATTACTCCACACCATCGCAGTAGTGGAGTGGTAGATCTTAACTGTAGTGGCTAAAGGTGTGAATATTAAAAACTTTCTGTTGAATTTATGTTGTCAAATAAATGAAAATATAGTTTTGTAAATGTGGATTCATGTTTTTGATTATCCTGGCATACTTTTTCCCATCTTAATCCAGTTAATGGAATTTCTACTGTATAAGAGGAGATAATGAGGTTACTAGAGATTTACTAGAAGTTATTTATTTAGAAATTTGATGCTTTTGTGACTGGAAATATGTCATAGGAACTTAACTCTTGTTTATATCAATTAGCCTATAATAAAATTGGTATAGTTATATATTGTTTTGTTTAAAGTTGCATTTTCCAAGAACTTATTGACAATGTTAGTGGTGACTTATTATATGTATTTGTTTTTCAAAAACAAAAATTCAAATTTTTCATATTCTGCCTAGGTTAAATAAAACTATTCTAACTTTTGCATAATAATTATTAGTAATGTTTATTTTTATAAGGTTTAATTTTTTTATTAAAATTAAAGACAAATTCTCTTTTGGGCAGACTTTGTCTTTAATTTTAATAATAATAATAATCTTCATTGGACAAAAAAATTTACAAAAGTTTAATTTTTTATTATTTAGTATTTTATAACAGTTAATTTTGATCTTATAAATCATGAATTTTAAATGGCTGATGTTTTTTGTATTTTAGTTACTCACTTCTGGTGCTGTAAGATCTTGGGGTTTAGAAGTACAAGAAGGTGTATATAATATGCTTCAATTACTTGTAGAATTTATAGCAGTCAGACTGAAGCTTGATCCTATACCTGAAAAATTACTCTCTGTAGTTTTAGCAATGGTAATTAAAATTTAGATTTTATTGATAATAAACCACATTTACAAAATATCTGTTTTAAATTTTAAAAATTAGAGATATCTTCAGAATATTTGATTCTTCACTCTCAGCTTGAAACAAATCATATATAATAAAAGTAATGGTTACAGAGCTCTTATAATTTTTAAAGTATTTTGTTAATTTTTGAAAGTTTTAAGATATTTTTGAAATTAAAAGCTTTGATGTTTAAAATTATAAGAATTCAATTACTTGATTTGGATTTGTATTGTACAGTTTGTCATTTGGGTTGAAGATAAGAAATAAAAAAATTTTGAATTTAAAAAGATTTATAATTTTCAAATTTCATTTGATTATAACTAATGTATTTTCCCATTCACATGTAATATTTATATGTGAATGAGAAATTTTAATTTTATAATGATTAACATTTTAAACTTGAAAATTTTAAAATTGTGAATTGTTATAATTGTGTAAAAAAGATAATATTTTAATTAACATCTTTATGGAATAAAATTGTTGAAATAAATTAGTTATAATTCATAAATGAAATGAAAATATTAAAGTAATAATTTACATTACAATTAAAATTATAATCTAAAGTTCCAATTTAAAATTATAATTTTTTTTTACTAAGAGATATGGGTTAACATTTCTAATAAGCAGTAAATGACATACGGGTTATGAGATTGTTTAATTCAAAAAGAATTGGTTTATTAATCAATCAGTTATTTGTAAAGTAAATATAATACAGTAGAGCATTGATTATCCGAATCAATTGGGGACTGGGGTTGTTCAGAAAATCAATTTTTCGGATAACCGATTATGTACAAAAAATACATTATTAATATACTATATTAGTATATCCCAATTATAGTATATTAATACATCCCATGTTTAAATTTTTCTCCATTGTGTGTCGCTTTGTGTTGAATTTTCTTCGATGTTAAACCTAACAAAAATTTTTATAATAATCATGGCTATTGTATTGTTAAAAATTATCTCTTTATTTTGTACAAACAAAATAAATATTTTGAAAAATGTAAAAACAAAAATAATTATACTTTAGAAGTTAATCTAGTATTAAAAATGTTCGATTCAGTATGACACAGTCCAACTGGAATGCTTTCGGTTAACCAACATTTTGGTTGATCGGCATTCAGATAATCGATGCTCTACTGTATCTATATTTCAAAGTGACTAAATATGAGGTTTAAACTTGGGAATTTTTCCCAAGTTTAAACCTCATATTTACTGTTACATTACTATTTTGTGATTATATTGTTATTACTTTTATAGATTCAATATTTTATTTAGTTTATACAGTATGTGTTAAGTAAATTCCATTAGTTCAAACATTTTAGAAATTCAAACTTAAATCTAGTAAAAATTAAGTAATACTTCCATTTATTGGAGAGCTGAATTATAATCACATCATTTTTTTATTACTTTGGTTGAAAAGAAATACTGGGAGAATGTTACTCATCAACTCATCAAATAAAAGCAAACAAAAATTGATTATTTTTTTTTTGTTAGAAATGGAAATTTTCTTTATTATAAAAAAGTAATTAATTATTAATTTTAAATAAAGCTATTTAATTGAAAGGGTAGAGGCAACAATAGCCTCTGAAAAGAAGGGGCCAATGACATAATCTAACATTAAAGCACACCACACATTAACCTTGTGGCTCTTATATACCTGTCCAATGCACACATAAGAGTTCTTAGGCACTCAGACACATTATACCTGTTGACCTTTCTTGATAGATGGAATTTGGCCTTATTGGAGAAGCTGATGCATTCCTGGTTCTGATTGTCATTCTTGATTTCTTTCAATATATTCATTATGCATATACTGTATATCAGTGCGGGCAGTCATCTGGTTCATGTGCCTGCAACATCTGTAGTTTATTGGCATAAAATTAAAAGATGTTTGCATAACATGTTATGCATGATAGTTTTTGGTATTCTTAGCTCACAAACTGGCATGTTTTGCAAATCAATTTTCTTGGGCTATATCAGTACTTACTCATCAATGTTGCTTGTTTATGGCAACCTCTACCCCTGGAAACCTGCACAATTAAAACTAGTAATAGTCATGTTATGAACATTGCCTGATAATCTTGAAATTTAGCAAGTTTATTTGATACACATAGCAAAAGTTTCATTGCACAGCAATAACAGACTTTGTTTTGATAAATCAGGATTTCTTATAGTATTGTCATTTTGACATTGACATATGCCATGTCATCTTTACTATTTTATGCTAAGCATAGGCTTTACAAATGAAAACTTGGAAAGGTTCTGCACTCACAGACACCAAGAACACAATTATGCATCACTTAGAATGACAGATATATTGATTCATGTTATTGTAGTAATTTCTTGTACACACTGTATATTAAGTATATTTAATTTTGTATAAATTTAATGTTTATTAAATTTAAAAATTTTTTAGTAATTATTATATTATTTAAATTAATTAATTAAAATCAGTTATTTAAATTATATATATTACATATTATATTTTATACTCTAGGCATTTGATCCAGATTCAGAATTTCATATAAAAAATAAACATAGGACTAGTACTACTATTCATTGGATGTCTGGATTTAGTCCAAGCCAATCTTTTGCTGTTTCTAAAAATACATTGGTATGCAAAATATAACAATTTTTTTTTTTAATTATTATTATTTCCTAAATTAATTTATATGTAATATATTGTAATATATTAAATTATGAAGTATTTAGTATATGGCATTAAATTTTTGTAGCTAAACACAATTTTCATGCATATAGTATGAATTTTGATATATTAATAATTTTTATCAGATTAAATAAGAAAATAGACTTTAGAATGGAATTTTATAATTTAATAAAATATAGGTTGTTGTTATACAGAAGTTGCATTGATCTGTTATTGGTAGATCTAAAATTCTTATTTAAAATACTATTTGAAAATAAAATCATTATATAACAAAATTCATTTTAATCATGAAAATAATTAATGTAATTACAGCTGTCCCAAAAATAATTATTTATTTAGCATTTAATATGTAATTAGCCTATTAAACAAGTTAGTCTTGATATAATATTAATTTAAAATGAGGAGAAAAGATTTTTTTTAAGGGCATTGCCATTTATTGAAACTAGTAATGAATAAAATTATTTGAAAATGAAACTATTAATTTTGAATGTATTTTGATTAATAAGTGAATCACTGTCTTTTCAAAAAATAAGTTTTATTTCATATTTTATGTATTCAGATATTTTTTAAGTCATTTAAATTTGTTGTTAAATTATTAACTGTTAAAATAAAATCAAATGTATTTTAGTTAGTAAAAGAATTATAGATAATAGAAAAAAGAGGCTTCATTTTTTAATTTTCTCTTCTGATAATTTCTTAAAATTAGCTTTGATTTTCATGGTCCCAGCATTTTGGATTGTTGGATTTAAGAGATATAGATCTTTATTTCGATGGATTTCAAAATGTTTATGTACATTGTAATGTATGTGTGTTTTGATGACTAATTTTCTTTCTTACATTTTGTAGAAAAATCTTTTGAAGAGTTTTAAGTTAGCTAAGTTGTCAAGAAATTTAAAATCAATATTTAGACACAGTAATTTATTAAATTGAATACATTTATTTTACTTAATAAAGATAGGATATTAAAATGATTAATTTTGAATTACTGCATGAAAAAGTTTTTCTAAAAATTTTTTTAAGAGCAAAAACTTAATTTTCTGTGGTTGTTGTGTGGGATCCCCCAATTTATCACAGTTGAATTAATAATTTTGTATAATGTCACAATGACTGACACCAGAATTTTTTCTCTGGAGATTGATAAACTTGACTTATCTATGTGGGTGGTTTTAACCCCATTTTCATGTGCCAATATATGACCATTAGAGGAAGGAGGAGACAGGAGACAAGCTTTCCAACTTCTCTTCTGAAACAATATAGTGGAACGAGCTTATTCCACTATATTGCTTGACGAACACCTCTCGTAATGAGTAATTTGCATAATAAGCAAAACAAATTGTAAAGAAATTACTTGCTTAACAAGTGACGTTTTGCATAACGAGTGACAAGGAGAGGGGATGTCCCGGATTGTGCACATGCTCCATCAGTCTGTATTTAGCACTCGTTCCACTAGCATCTTAGTGTCACTTGTAATCACACATTCTTCCAAACTTGTGTTCAGATATATTACATATAAACATCAACAACCATAGCCTATTATATAATAAACACGCCAACTGATATGCCAAATTTTTGGGCTGTGTAAAGGCTATAATTAAATATTAGAAATTGATTAATTTGATTAGAGGTAGGCAGTTATGCTGCCATCTTGTATTAAATTTAATGACCAATTCCAAATTAAATTTATAAATGTCTAAATTAAAAATTAATTATTTATGATCATAAATTTAATGTGTGATGGAAGCATAACTGCCTACCTCTAGTCAAATTAATTAATTTATAATATTTAATTATAGCATTTACATAGCCCAAAAATTTGGCATATCATTTGGCTGTTTATGAGAGATATTTTTTCAATTATTTTGTTTTCTGCAAATCGAATTCTCATTCCAGGTTGATTCATTCTGTGCTATAAGAAAAGATGATGATGATTCACGCNTGTCGAGCTAAAGTCAATATATCGGTGACTTATTACATAAATAGGACCGGTGTGACCAAGGAACGGGGTGCGAGATGATTTAATTGTCGCATTCCAGGCCTAATTGACAGATTCACGGTCGTCAATCGTGAGAACGATCGAGGGATCGACTGTCGGGGAAACTTTGGACGGTCACCTTACAGAGAGTTGAAAGCAGGTCCTGCTGACACTCCTGTGGAGGGGGCAGCGGCTGAGATAGCTTCCTCCTCTCCGGGACAGAAAAATAGACATTAGGTGACAATTTACGGGACTGTCATCCAGGAAAGGGCTTGACCCAACTCCGGAGGGGAACGGCCCGGACGGGGTCATTTCGGCGACCCCTCAGCCCGAATCGCGTCCCTGGCAACAGACCAGGGACCAATAGAATCGCGGGGGACCAACATTCGGACCAACCAAAACCTCGGGATTTCGGGTGAGGAAAGATTATAAAAGCCCGAGGTCCCAAGGACATGGGGAGGTTGCGAAGTGATGTTCGAGAGCATCTGTCCAGGAAACACGAAGCAACAAAGGATACCAAACTCCGAGTGCTAGGACAGACTTTCCCGTGACAGTTCTCCATCTCTCCAACTTCCAAGACAGCGTCAACAGAGACGAACCTTCTTCAGTCCATCGCACAGTGTCAACGGAGACGAACTTTCTTCGATCCATCACACAGTATCAACGGAGACGAACTTTTGAGCCCATAATCTTGGAGACCACTCTCTCTCTCTGCGCGGGATCTACCACCCTGGATTGTGTAACTCATTGTAAGCATGTTTTCACCAAATAAACGCGTTGAATTAGTAAATACGGTCTCTGTGTGAGTCTTTGCGTCCAGCAAACCGCGACCCCCATACGGAAAAGGTTTTCTTGTGTCATCCTGACAGATCACGGGCAAAGCGAGGGTCATAACCTTTCACCTTAAGGGCGACCTCTGAGCGAGTTTAGATTCAGGTACCCCACGTCCTTAAAAAGGAGACAATCCTTACGGTGGTGACAATCCCAATTCCAAATTAAATTTATAAATGTCTAAATTAAAAATTAATTATTTATGATCATAAATTTAATGTGTGATGGAAGCATAACTGCCTACCTCTAGTCAAATTAATTAATTTATAATATTTAATTATAGCATTTACATAGCCCAAAAATTTGGCATATCATTTGGCTGTTTATGAGAGATATTTTTTCAATTATTTTGTTTTCTGCAAATCGAATTCTCATTCCAGGTTGATTCATTCTGTGCTAGAAGAAAAGATGATGATGATTCACGCTCCTTAACAATGTATATTGTATAATTTTCTTTGAATAAACACTATACATAAAATACTTGAGTATTTTTTTTTTGGCATGGAACACATTATTGTATTTTACATTAATTTATATGGGAAAAATTGTTTCATTTAATGAGTGTTTCGCATTACGAGTAAGATTCTGGAATGAAGTATGTTTGTTAAGCGAGGTTCCACTGTATTTTTTATTTAACTTTAGAAACAAATTGCTCCAGGGCAAACACTTATGACTTAGAGAGAATGAGAGATTATGAGTTCTGTGGACTGACAGGTGGATGATAAATGACCATGTCAAAATCTTTGTGTGGTTCCAAAGGAAACATACCAGCTGCAGATTCAGCTGAGTTGGAAGATTGTTTGGATTTTGATGTAAAAGTAACATTATCCACTTTCCTTTGTGATTTGAACTATGTTTTTTTTCTGTAAATTGGTGGGTGATAAGGGGATCTGATGTAATCAATGATGGGGGAACTTGTCTTGGTCACTTTGATTTCATTCAATTGGTTTCATCATCATTAATAGGTTTCAGCATCTTTTGAAAAATGTTTTAGATAAAAGTTTGTTTTTGATGTAGAATCATAATATACAATAAAAATGTGTGTTCCCATTTAAGAAAATGAAGTTGGCCTTGTTTTTTATTGATTGAAGTGCCACATGTGATGAAACCAATAGCCCATCTTGTGGTCCCTTAAAATCTAACATTTTTGATTTAATGAATTCTTCTGTAGGATGCATATTTTTTGAGTATGTACTAAAATAAAAATTAAATAAATTCTTGGATACTAAATATTATCAGGAAAAGAATAATTATTTATTACAATATATTATTAAATAATGCCAATTTATATTATTTAAACATAATAAATAGTAAATAAAGATTAATATTAAAATGAGTGATAGTATATTTTTTATCATGTTAAAACACTTATTATAATTTTTTTGTTTTAGGATTCTTATGGTTGGTTAATTGATACTATAAACAGAGTAAGTACAGTTATTAAAATACTCTTTTGTTAAAATTATATTTTATCAGTATTTTAATTATAAATTTATTTGCTATATTCTATTGAAAGTAATTCAAAATTTTCAAATATGTTTAATCTTGGATAAAAATTTATTAGTTTAACAAATAATTAAATCAATCAATTAATCTATCTATGTTTATTATTTGTTATATGGGATGTTATTACAAAGGGGGGTTAAATAACATTGTTACTTTAAATTTGATACATGAAAAAAATTTATATAATTCATATAATGTTAACATGGCAAAGCTGTCGCTGAATAAAATTTGATAATAAAAATCAGATGTCAGTATAGCAACTCAGATATCCAAAAGAATATTACAAGAATCAAGAAGATATTTTCTCATATTCATCACTGTCATTCCACAAAAAGTGTCACATGAGACATTAATTATTTTACTGTTTAAGTTTATTGAAATCCTATTTAATCTAAATTGCACAGCAAATGCCTTTATTTTGTAACTCAAATAAGACAATAAATATAGTGCTAGAGTCCACATTCTATTAAGAAAAGTTTCAGTTCCAACCCCTTTCACTCAAATAACGAACATCTTGTGACCAATATAAGTCTCTTAATCATTGATCACAATCCAGGAGGAACGAACTTTCACTTAAAAAATATATATAACTAGAGGATCATCCAATATTATTTAATAGTCCTTTGACTATAACAGGCTGGGCCATAGTTTCAAAAAAGAATTATTATTTATTCATGAAAGTCTTGTATATATCAATTTTCAAATATCCAGTAGGTCAATAAGTTTCCTCTAAAACTGAAACAAATTTATTGATAAATTAATAGCAAGGGGAGGTCTTCCCAATTCCATTCTCCAGTACAGGTCCTGAGAAATATCTATTAATATGGAATACCTGCTTAAAGTAGAACAACTGTATTCTCTCAAATCTGTCCATTACAGACCACCACAAACTGGAAAAGCATAAAAAAATACTTGGTTCAATCAAGAAGTCAAATAATCTAAGATAATTATTTTATGAAGATGCTTTAATTTTAATAAATAATTTGATGAGATAAGTGATTTTAGCTCTTGCATTAAGTAAACTTTTATTTAAATTATAGGAAAATGTGCCCTGTGATGAAAAATAAATGCCTATGTCAGGGGTTCCCTAAGTGTGCGCTATAAAGAGTAAACGGGCACTGCGAGGACTTTGAAGCTAATGGAACTTTCTATCTACACTAGATCATTCCCATAGCTTGTAGAACTTTCTAGAAGCCTTATATAGCATACTATCAGACATTGTCAAAGTTTTGCAAAAGTTTTAAGTAGGTGGCACAGCTAGTATAAATATGGCAGCACTTTGGCGAACCTGTTCAGTTCCTAAATAACAATCGAAGAATAAACATTTGAGAAGAAAAGTAAATGGTTTTAAGATGCCTGCTACCAGAGGAGTGTCCACTTTGTTTCAGTGTGTCGCTTTGTATTTTCATATAGTTGTAGGAAAATGGAAAGATTTTTATTAAATAAGCAAGTCAACAGTTCAAGTGAGAGTGATCAAGCATAGACAAGTGGTGGGGTAGCAAAGAAACGGAAATATCATAAATACGATGACAACTATTTGAATTTTGGCTTTACTTCAGTAGAAGTACAGGTAAACAATGAAGAGAGACTGCAGTGTATGCTCTGTTTAAAAGTTCTAGCGCCCGCGTATATACTCTTAAGTAAGCTAAAGTGACATCTTGAGACCAATCACTCTAACATGGTTGAAAAATCTCGCAAATTCTTTAGTAGGAAGTTTCAAGATTTACAAAAGGAAAAAAGTGAGTTTACTAAACAAGCCTCAGTACCAAGAAATGCACTGCTAGCATCTTTTAGGTTCCATACAGAGTGGTGAAGTGCAAAAAACCTCACACCATTGCAGAAGAGCTTATTATACCAGCTGCTCTTGACATGGTTAATATTATGCTGAGAGAAATGGCGGGAAAATTAATTTCAAACGTACCTTTGTTAAAGAACACTATTTAGTGTTGCCACCTTTTCAAAATTGCTGACCCGGACAGCAGATCAAGTTGTTTCTAACAGAAGTTCCTGACATATGCGCAATGTCATATTTCAATGTAAAGAATAACGTGCATGCTGGTTGTAAATTAGTTACAGTTAGGGACTAGGGACTTGTGTAGGAGTAACATAAGTAACCCTAAATTAAGAAAAAACAGGTACAGATTAAGTATAACTTCCGAGGGATCACCCGGAGCTTCCAGGGACTCTAGCTTTGTAAAGTACTATATTTAGTGTTTTGCTCTACAACGAATTTTTTTCTTAAAGAGCCGGGACCTAACGGGTACTTTACGCGGGTTTGCGTTTGTTAGTTGCCAGGCCTGGACTTTTCGCGTGCACCGAAATAAAGTAAGGACAAAGTTAGTCACAAAAAAAATCTCTCAATAACTGTTTAATCAAGTCTAACAAATACTATGTACAAGTTTTAGAAACAAACAACAAATTTATTAAATAAGAAATCAAATCACAATCAACCCGACAAACTTAAGTCTTATTCTAACTTAGAAACTATTCCCCTTGGAATTCCGACAAAACAAAATTCAATCTTAACTTAGTTACAAATTCTCTTATAACTATCGATCCTAACCGTCACCTCAATTAATACTCGGAACCTTTTTCCTCCACTCAAGACTTTCCTCTTTTCCTATCGTCAAAATCGAACCTTCAATTTCCTACTAGGATTTCCTATTCGACACCTTGTTCACTGCTACCAGCAGACCAACGCTTTCGGTTCAGGAGCTCACCTCGTCTGTCTTCACTTGAGTTACTGTACTTATAGTCTGAGGTGACGTCACAGTTCTACTTGAGACACTCCCCTCATTTACATATCTACGCGTAACATTCTTGTTTTCTCTTCGTTATCTGGTAGCTTATTTCTCGACAATACTTTGTTAACCTTTTACAACATTTCTTTAACAATTATCGGGATGTTTAGTTAAAGGTTACACAAGTTCCTAAAAAGTCTATTGGGGTGTCCCCCCTTCAGTGCGGACTTACAATTCTGCCGCTCGGGCGTGCACGTGAGTGTGAATGCTAGCTATGGCGCTGTCGTTTTGTCGTCGGTGAGTTGGTTAATCTCTTATCTTCTCGTTTTGACCGTTCTGGGGTGATGGGTAAGGAAACCTTCGTCCTAACTAAATATAAGCCCCAAACAAAAATATAATAAAAGCAAACTAAAAGTAAAATAAAAATAAAGCTCGGACTTAGTTCCTTACAGCTTTTATATGTTATTCATGGGAAATGAGTCACGTGATCGACTTCTGTTGACACTTACAGTGCATTCCGATCAACTAAGTGTCAACTTTCCCACCTTAATGTGAAAACAATCGGTGACCTCCGATATACTTCTCATCAAGTGTGTTTTTTTCCTTGGAATTGTTTACAAAGATTTTTCCGACATCGGCGTAAAAATCACGGATTTCACATTTTTTAAAAATTAAAAAAAAATTTTAAAAATTTTTAAAAAATTTATAGGCAAATTAATATATATGAATATAAACTGTAGGTATGTACTGTATATACACAAAAGCAGATTAATTGTATTGATTATTATGTAATTTAAATGTATTGTGTATTTATTAAGTAAGAAATGTATTTGATTCAATAATAATTGTTATATTTGTTTAAATAGTTTGCTCAAGAAGGAGGATTTACTCAAATTAGTAAAAAATTTCATAATGATAATTTATCATCATCAGTAAGTATGAAATAAAATTTTTATTGATAACTTAAGTTTAAAAGTACATGTAATAATACAACAATTCACATACCGTATGTACTCGCATATAAGACAAGGTTTTTATTCATTTTTCACTGCTTCAAAAACCTAGGTCATCCTATACATGCGAGCAAAGGATTTTTTGCATTTTTTCAATAATTTTTGTCAACTGTGTATTCACATTTTTTACCTGATGTTCACCCTCTGGTGTTTAAAAACAAAAGTATTTTATCTGGGTCCTTTCAATTGTTCTTGTATATTGTCAGGAGTAAAGACGAATACAATAGGAAAAGCAAAGCTTTTGAATTGAATTCCAAGTTGAAATTTCAAAATCACATGGTAGTCCAATATAAGTAAAAAATAAATTTAAAAACTCACGCCAATATTTGTCTAGTTTCTGGGTACAAATTCACTGAGTTCAGCGTTAATAAAGCTACTTTAGTATTAACACAAGTACTTTCGACGAGTGTATAACTGTCGTCTTCAGGTGAAAAGAACAAGTTTTTAACAAAAACGAACGTGCAGGATGTTCCAAAAGAACATAATATTTAAATTCAAACAGGCGTCCGGAAATTTCGTTACGAACGTGCGAATGATTTTTGATATTTTGAATCTTTATATTTTACGATGCTAGCGGCGCATGCATGGAGATGCTACCGCGTTGGCGATACGATGAATTTGTACCCAGAAACTAAACAAATATTGGTGTGAGTTTTTAAATTTATTTTTTACTTAAACATGGAAACTGTGAAATCGCTTTTCTTTAGTCCAATATAAGTTTTAATCTATGTGAAAAAGATGATTTTTCAAAAGCAGAATTTGGAGAAACTCGTAAGTGTAATTAATGGAGAGTGGATTTGACTGTTAAGAATTGGAAAAAGGTTCCTGATTGCCCAGCTTTACATGAACAAATTATGTTGTTGATTTTACAAGATTATTTCCTTAAAGATTAAGATGCCAGTAATTTTTACAGGACAATGTGTGCATTTACATGCAATTGATATTTTACTCATGATTGAACAAAATAAAATTAGAATTGTATTAATAAATCTAATTTTCTTTATTTCTATCTTTAAAGTCACACCTCATCTTATATGTGAGATCGTCTTATATGTGAGTAAATACAGTAATACATAATTTCTAACGAAACTGTGTGATAATGAACAAAACATGAATGAATTTGGTAGAGGAGGAATTGGCTTATTGGTTGTTAAGGATATATTAAATTTTGTTTCATATTTTTATGAATGTGTAAAAGTATTCAAAAGTGAGTAATAGATTCATTTCTGGACTTTTAATTGTTGCATCTTTTATGTTGAGAACAAATCATTTGAAATTTTTATTTAGAACTAAGGAGGAGGGGGAAAAACCTTTTCACTAAAACAGAGGTGTTTTTAGCATTTTACTGTTAGAAGATGCTATTTTCCTTCTCTTTTTTGTAAAAGGAGGTACAGGATAGAACATTAAATGTATTTTAATTTTGTTTATTATGCAAAAATATAATTTCATTTTTTAAAATATACTGTTTAATGTGCAAATTATTTTGTGACGTGTAATTATAATGTTACATATAAAAATTTGCCATTATAGGTGCATTCCTATGTTGACTATGCATAAAAACGTTTCTGAATATAATAAAATGTGAACTTTAGTTAAATTGGCTATTTTAATTTTATAAGGTTCCAAATTGTATAACAGGCCTTTAATTAAGATAATATCATAAAAGATTAAAAAAAAACAAAAACTTATTACATGTACTGTAAGTATTTGTAATAATTTTTGATTGCATTTAAAATATATTAATAATATTTCAAAAAGTATTGAAATGTTTCATTTCAGTACATCTAATTCAAAAGTTTTATAATAAATTTTCAAATTTTTTTATCCAGCAAATGGCTGCCCTTTTAATGCCCTTAGCTAAGTGTGCTGAATTTCTAAATGGCTCTATTATTTGTCCATTATTATCTCCATGCATGGATAAAGCAGTAGACTTAATAAAAAACCTTACCGATGAAGATTTTAAAAACAAGGTCTGTAAATTATGAAAAAAAAACCTATCTTACTGCTATGAAATTGAATTTTAAAATATATTATTACTAATATTTCTTTCTTTCTTTTATTTTAGACCATTTGCTCAGTCTCTGAATTGCTATATGCAATGAAGCTCCTATGTTTACAGCTGTGGCAAAATCAAGTTTCTTTCATGAATGTTCTTCGTTTAGATGTTATCCTTAGAATGTTAAAATGTCCCCATTTTAATGCAAGAATGAATGGATTAAAAGAAGTAATTTAAATAATTAAAATTTTATTAGAGTTTAATTTATTTCATAAAATAAGTTTATAAATTTATACTTGGTATTTTAATTATATAGTAAGCATGGACAAATTTTTAGCTTAAGTGATATATTGATATGTTAACTGATTGTTAATAGAATATTTAATTGCATATTTAATACAATACAGTAATCAAAGTACAATCCGTGGGAACCCAGTCTGTTTTGTCATTTGTTAGAAACCTAACAGTATTATAGGATTATTGTTATTATTAATTCTTTTAATATAATAGAAAATAAAGTTTCTCATAATGAAAAATATAAATCCAAAATCCTTTATTAGTTAAAACATTAATTGGAATAAAGAACATATGTATAAGAATGTTTATTTTTAGATCAAAAACAATAATCAAAGTGTTTCTTATTGAATTGAAAATTTATTTGCTACACATTAATTCTTTTTGCATAGAACAAGCAATTTATTATTCTTAACTGAATTAATAAAAATTACTAAAAGTAAAAAAATTATAATAAATTATGATTATTTTAGGAAAAAAGTGGGAATATGTTAAATAAGGTTTTCTTGTTGGCCAGATGTCATGATAGGTAATGTATCAGACTACTGCTCTGGGAGTCCTGGGATTGAATCTGAATAGTTTAAAAAACCCAGGAATTATTTGGGGATGATCTGTACTGAATAATATGCCTCTTACACATTTTATGAAATATTTTCATTTTGATTTGGATCATTTTCTGGTTTCTAAAGTCATCCTTGGTGTTCAAAACAATAGAGCTGTTTATTATTATTGACTTTTCCAGACTGGTTGATGGTAATAATAATGAACAACAGAGGTAAGACTTGCAAAATTACTAATAGATTCTTCAGAAATTTATAAGGTGACTAAACTTATTAATTTATTTTTTATTCTAATATCTATTCTAATTTGAAATAATAAATTAGTATTAGCCCAAAATTATTTTTTGAATAATCCTTTTTTATAAATATTTTTGAAAACAATCAATTATAACATTTCTTCATATTTTTACGATTGTTTATCTTGCAATTCTTTGAAATGATAATTGGATATGATAGATTAATGGTGACTGCTATTTATAATAAAGTCCAGGAATTATTCATTTCTGAACATTATAATGATTAACAGTGGTTATTGAAACTTAAATTACAAGTTACTAAATTGAAAAAAGGAATATAAAAATTTGTACAATAGCAGAATTAGAACTTATGATCCAGTGCAGAAGAAACAAAATTTTGTTTCTTATTTGGCTGAGTCTAAATATTTACTAGTATAACGAAAAAAGAAACTAAACAAGTTGTTTGTAATTATGTAAACCAGATATTCAAGAGTATAAGAATATTTTTAAATGTATTGTAGATCCTAAAGAAAACAGTTTAAAATTAAAGTTAAATATATAAATATTTAAAAATTTTTAAGCTAAAGTTTAGAAATTTATAAAAATGCTATACAAACATAAATATATAATAAATATACAAGGTTATTTGTTATTCTGATTGTTATTACATATTTGGCATTGTAATTAAGGACATTAAGATTATTACTTATACTTGTAACCTTAAAAATTTTTTTTAACTTTTCTCTATCAACTCCCTAACAGGGAAAATATCCCATTTTGTGAATAAACCATTATATATATATATAAATATACAAGGTTACACTAAAATCTCTGTGTCATTTTATACTTTAACTAAAGAAGTATAAATGTTAAAACTATGCAGTAAATAATAACAAAAGCATAAATTTTAAAGTTTTTTACAGAATAATTTTGTCAATGCAGAATTAATTTATTTTACTCTATTTGCAATTTTCATTAGTGATTCCAATGGTGACTATTATCATTAGGGTCATCAAACATGCAATAATGAATGGCATATTCTGTTCTAACAGCTGTTATTACCAAACCAATGTGATGGTTTACTTTTTCTATGATTTTCACCATTAAAATCACTAACAGAATCTGTAAATAAAATAGTTCTGCATTGATAAAATTATTATCTAAAAAGCTTTAAAAGTCATAGTCACATATTATCCATGATTTTAATGCTTATAGCTCTAGTTATTGAAGTGTAACTGCACATGTATTTTAGGTCCACCTTATGTATATTGCATCTTTATAAATTTTTAAAGTAGTTTGTAAACTTATTTATATATATAATTATTATAAAATTTTCATTTTATTTTTATTTCCAAACTTTTAAAATTTTAATTGTATTGATTATAATTATGAAGAATATTTTGAAAAATTGCAAGAGCATTAAAATTATAAGAATATAAACTTGATTTTTATGATTTTTGCAAAACATGATAATGCAGAAATAGAAAATTTCAAGAACAGTTATGAATACAGTGGTATTTTGTATTTGAAACAATTTTAACTTTGAATGTTCCAGAATTTGAATGCCAAATTTGAAAGAAATTTGATCTGGAGTTTGAATTATGCTTCTATGTTTGAATTGTGCTTGTGGTGAAAAAATGTGATTTGCTGCATAAATGCCAAGTCATCTTTCACTCTCACTGTGAAAGCATTTCTTGAGTTACACTTGTATGTTTTATTGCTGTTTTTTTGCACTGAAAACATACAAGTTTTGGTTATATATATATATATAATCTTTATGTGGTTAATCATGGCTTCTATGAAGAGTGTGAAAGCATTGAAGTCTAAGAGGAAGGTTGTAGTATTGACAATTGAGGTTAAAAAGAAATTTGCTGTGAAGCATGAAAGCACAACACATGTGGCAGATCTGGTGGCCATATTTAAGGTGCCAAAGTTGACAGTGTGCAACCAGTAAATGCAATTTTCACTTTATCATACAGTACTTATGTATTTTATTTATTGTTTTCATGTTTTAATATATTATTTAGGGCATTTAATAGTGTTATTTTTATTTAAATTATGTGTATTTGCTGTTAAGTTTATGGAAATGGACATTGTTTAGGGTCTGGGAATGAATTACAGTAGAGCATTGATTATCTAAAACATTTTGGGACTGTGGATTGTTCGGATAACTGATCATTTACAAAAAATATATTAAACATAAAACTGTACTGCATATAATTTGTATCACACGTCTTACAAATACATACCTTAAATAATGTAATACATTAAACTAGGGTTACAGTTTAATTTGGCAGGGAGGGGAAGAGTGCTGCAACACCACAGCCCTAGTGGAAATTTGAATTTGCTGACTGGAATGCTTTCAGTTAACAGATGTTTTGATTGATCAGTATTCGGATAAGTGATGCCCTACTGTAATTTACTTTCCATTATTTCTAATAGAAAAATTTGAAGTGCAAGGGATCATTGTTTTTGAATTTATTTTTTGTAATCATCCTCTTATAATGTTGAGTCTTTTTTTTTTCCATCAAATTATTTATATAATTGATTTTTTTGCATCTCGTTTAAAAAATTATGGAATAGAAAATTTATTTCTTTTTACTAGATACATCCAACACACCCTATTGCTGAGAACATATATTTATTACACAAAACTAGCGTTTTCGGCCCAATTTATGGGCCATCTTCAGGTTACCGTTGTTCGACTCTAATACAAAATCGAACAAGTTCAAAATTAAACCAAATTAGAACATACGTTTAAATTACGCTAATAGAATAAGTATAACCAAAATAAAACAATAAATAATAAAAAACCAAAATAACACAAAAAATGAAAATAAAATACGATGATTGGCTGTAAACACTAAGGAACATTTCCTTATACCTTAACCCAGATACCTATTGAGTCACTGGAGACGCATTATTACGCGTGTTACTTCTTATTATGTATTTCCAGGATGACGGTAACACCGTCGCATCCTTATAATTTAAACATCTGTCAGCCAAACTCGCTCTGTAAATTTCGCATTTCTCAAGTTATGGATGACAGCGCTGGCGAGCGTACTTTTGCAAGAATTTTGGCATCCTCCCATTTAACAACCGAACCATCCGCTTGCGCCATTTTGGATAATGCTGTTGCACACTTGTTTTTTGCGACATCGTATCGGTGCTTCTTAATCCTCACCCCAAGGTTTCTATTAGTGACCCCTACATAGTCCTTATCGATTCCCAACTGGTCATTTTTGTAGGGAATTGCATATACTCCTGCCTGTTCATTATCATCAATTCTTTCTTTGTCATTTCTAATCAACCTATACACTGTGGGGCCCTTTTGCATATTATACTGGCGTTTTTGTGTCTCACTATTTGCTTCATAATCGGGAAGAGACATTTATTATACGTAAACTTTGTGAATTTACCCCCAGCCTCTGGTTTCTTCTTAGAGCTGCTCCTAGGCTTTACGTACGCTGCTATTAAACGCTCTATAGATCTTGTTCCAAACCCTAACTCTTTTGCAACCTTTTTGATCCTACCCAGCTCATCCATCGTGTCCATTACATTTGAGCAATACAGAAACGCTTTTCTAAATGCAGATAGTTTATAAACTGTTGGGTCATTAGAATTTGCCGGAATATACATCGGATCATGCGTGGGCTTGATGTACACCTTCGTGCATAAAGTTCCATTCTTAAATTCAATGCTAACGTCCAAGAAGTGTAGCTCCTTGTTACTAATTTGCTCCAGGTTAAGTTTTAAGCCATGTTGGTTAGAGTTCACTTGGCCTAAGAATCGTTTTATCATTGCGTCATTCTTCCAAATAATTAGAACATCATCTACATATCTTTTGTACATGATTATGTACTCATTATAGTTGATAAGCGTCATGCTTTCTAATTTTCTCAGCACCAACTCACAGAGCAGGCCAGACATTGGGCTGCCCATTGTGGGAGGATGCCAAATTCTTGCAAAAGTATGCTCGCCAACGCTGTCATCCATAACTTGAGAAATGCGAAATTTACAGAGCGAGTTTGGCTGACAGATGTTTAAATTATAAGGATGCGACGGTGTTACCGTCATCCTGGAAATACATAATAAGAAGTAACACGCGTAATAATGCGTCTCCAGTGACTCAATAGGTATCTGGGTTAAGGTATAAGGAAATGTTCCTTAGTGTTTACAGCCAATCATCGTATTTTATTTTCATTTTTTGTGTTATTTTGGTTTTTTATTACTTATTGTTTTATTTTGGTTATACAGTGGAACCTCGGTATACGACCTTAATCCGTTCCTGGTGTTTGGACTTATACCGAATAGGACGTATATCAAACCAACCTTTTCCATAAGAAGTAATGTAAAAATGATTAATCCGTTCTCATGTAAAAAAAAATGGCTGGCTTTAAACACCTCGCTTTCCTTGCTAGTTTCTGCTTGATTTTTCATGAGATCAGTATGTATCCTTTTAACTTTCTCGCAAATAATTTCTTCTGATACGCTGTCGCCGGCACACTGTTTTTCAGTTGTCCAAAGCAAAAGCAATTTCTTGACATGATCTAATGTCTTCGATCTCTGTTTAGAAATTGATTTAACCCCTTTCGCAACGTTAGCAAATTTAATAATGTCTTTATTTTTCACGATTGTCGATATCGTCGTTCTCGGAATACGGAATGCAACAGTTAAATCTCGT